ATGTCTAAAACTATTAGTGTCAGAGTTCAGGATATACATTACTGTACCGAAACGTCTACATCAACTTCCTGGATAAGAAGTGGTACATTAAACAATCTATTATACGGTTCAGGTGTAGTTTTTATATATTGTTATAATCTTGTTCTTTCTTTGCCGGTTCTTTTAAATTATCAGGGGAAAATAATTTAACAGCCAGTCCACTTAATGAGACGAAATCAGTCTCTTTCCTCCTTTAAACGTTTATACAAGATTAAATCACTTTTAAACTGTCGTAAATTGGTTAGCTCTACGTTTACACTCTACGTAAAAATTAACTTCCTTGTACAAATTACCGCAATAACTCTCTTTTTATCTCAACAAACTTCCTTCTTGTCTCAATCTGCTCTCTTTCTTTCTCGAATCTCTCCTAACTAACTAACTTAAAGCTTCAAGGAACGTCGTTGTTTACAATCTACCCTTGTTCTAGATATTTCTAGAACTAACGTGAACTTAACGAAACATTACATCATCAAAGATCCGTAGCTCCCTCTAGCTAACAAATAAACGACAGCATTCAAAACAATATTATGGGGATATTAGAAACTTCCCCATAATCTCTCTCAAAACATCCCCATCACTTTGAAAATCCGAACATCTACAAGAAAATGTTATAACTGCACTAAAGTATAAATATACTGAGCATACTGTCAATCCGCGGTGTTCTAGATCATAAAGATATGTTTTTCTACAAATGAAACGCGCATGTGAAAGGAATATTCGTTTGACTTTACTTTCGTTAATACCAAAGTATACAGAAATGGAAATATACTACAGCAGTTGAAACAAAGTCACAATTTTAATTAGCAGTTGAAATGGAAATATACTACAGCAGTTGAAACAAAGTCACAATTTTAATTAGCAGTTGAAATGGAAATATACTACAGCAGTTGAAACAAAGTCACAATTTTAATTAGCAGCTGAAATGTATACTATATCTGATGAAACAGTAACATACACTAAAATCCTGCTACACTATTTTGGATTTCCTTTGCTTCATTCAAGTTTTGTAGTTTGACGCAAAAGAACTTTAAAAAGTGGATTGCTTTTCTCGTCAAACTTTTAATGTTGATAAGTGTTTTCTTATGTTTACTTAGCTTATGTGTGTTATAATACCAGCATGGTAACGCTAATAAGAAATAAGAAAGGACAAAGTTGTCCAATAAAATATACTATGCCAAATGAAAAGGAATTAAAATACTGCTTGTATTAAAGGAGGTTTAATTTGAAAATTTGTTGGTGATTTATAAACCAACTGGAAAGTAAAACAATTTAGCAACATATGTGAGGGAATAGCTTAATCAGGATATCTGGGATAACACTGTAAACATCAGCAGGATGTGAGGAAAAATTACAGTGATTGATTGTTTGTTTGTAATTAAGCACAAAGCTACAGAATGGGCTATCTGTGATCTGCCCACAACTGGTATCGAAACCTAGATTCTAGCGTTGTAAGCTTTCAGTTTTACTTCTGAGCCACTAGGGAGGGAGGCTGCAGAAATAAAGTAGTTCACTAAGATAATAACTGAAATTAGGAAACCCAACGAAAATAGTTTCTTATTATACTTTTTGAACATTACATTCTTTATTCAATCATTTAGAGTTTGTAGTTTTCAGAAAGAAAAAAGTGTATCATAGTATTTCAACAACACTATGTCTGCCATATCAATTGCTCAATACAGTCATGCCGACTGGGATACAACAAACACAGTAATGGTCGTAACACTATTTACATAAGCCATTTGTTAGAACAGCTGTTGTTATGGTGTGAACACCTCTTCTAAGCTGGCGAAGCATGATTATAATTAATTATATTTGTAATAAGACATTAGCATTAGGCCTATTATATTTTTAACATTACACGTTTTACTCAGCCATTAGGTTTTTTTTCCAAGAACAAAAATAATGTATAATAGTATTTCAACCACACAATGTCCGCCATATTCACTACCGAAGACGTGTTTCGTTCAGTAGATAGCTCACCAGGCCTGCTGGGAGACAACAAACACAGTAGTGTTTTTAAAATTGTAGGTAAATGACTATGAAAAACATACACGGACTGTTCTCTACATTAAATACTTTTCCTTTATTGTGAGCTTTCGGTCCTCTTACCGGAGCCTTCACCGGGTAACGATGTACTAAATAATACAAATTCGTCTCTCTGTGGAACAGTTAAACAAATCTTATTTTATGCTGCACTCAAGGCCATTACTTCTATGATATATTAATTTTTATTCGCCCATTCAATAACTTTGATTGTACTTTTTCATTTTATTATGTTTGTCTTTAAAAAAAATATACTTTTGTGTTATACTCATGACCAATAATTATAAAGTGTATTCATTCATTCTGAACATTTTTCTTTCCTATGTAATACCTATGGTTGTACTATTTATTTTCTTATGCTTATTATATTCAAGTAAGTTTTCGATCATAAATATTTTAAAATAACAAAGTGTGTATATTTTTATTTTTATAAGGCTCCAAAGACCGAGGTTTTGGTTCTTCAATTCATGTAAAAGTGTAAATCTTTGTCTACGAATTCCGTACTTGTCATAATTCATTTTCAGCATTTTATAAACAACAACTTCAATAGTAGATAGCAGGTATTGCTAGGATTGTTGCTTAGACACCTGTTTTTAAAAAGTTGTCTACGGAGAAACTGTTTTATTTCACTATATTATTGCCTGATGATAGCTCAGGTAAAAAGAGGTCGAGAGGTCCCAGTTAAAAGAAAGATGCGTAGAAAACCACATCCAGTGTATAATTTTATACAGAAAGTTAGTTCTAACAAAAAAAAAAAAAAAGCTTGGTGTTTCTCTTTTTATCTTTTCTCTTTGATTAGATTGTTTTGTTACCCACTTGCTGTCCACACGAAGAATCTGGCCAAATTAGTAAATAACAATGGCCTGGATCTTAGATATATATTCCGAGTCTCTTTCATTTGATATTAACACATATTGTTTTATTGAGAAAAAAAAAGTGTTTGATTTCTTACGAAACATTTGTGTTCAATTTCTGTCACGTTTTTAGTCGAGACCGACTTATTATACACCTCACATTAGATTTCCTATCGAACTTCTTGGTTTGTGGAAATAATCGTTTACCTGTTGAGTCCATAAAATGTTGGTTATTTCAACTATTTTTCTGTTAAAAACTGATGTAAAGGCAGGTACCATATTGTAGCATATACGAAAACTGTGAAGCAATAATTTCACTAAAGATTTCTGATTGTATATGAGTAAAATAGTCAATAAAACTATCTTTTTGGTCGAATCTTATAATTTTGGAACTCACAGGTGTTGTGACCTAAAATAGATGATATATTTGTGAAACATACAATTGTCTTGCTTTTCCTCAATTCTGCAAAATAAATGTGTATACACCATGATCATTTCAAATAAAAATTAAAAATCCTGTTGTTGGAAGCGCTTTTTTCTGTCTGAATGTTACAATGATTTGAAACAGTATTTACTCAAGAAAACTACCTTCATGGATATGAGTCTATATTGCATATAGATCCACTTTATACTTGTCAACTAGCTGCCCCACACGTCACTAAACGTTTCAGAGCAATCTTTGGTCATTAAATGTTTCACGAAAATCCACTTTCAGTACGTAGACTAACTACAATATCAGGACATACTTATGTTGCTAAGCAATATAACGTAAAAAACATTGTTGGAACGTACTTTAGTATTCTTCAATATTGTTAAATGTGATGTTGCCCCCCAGTGGCACAGCGGCATGTCTGCGGACTTACAACGCTAGAAACCGGGTTTCGATACCCGTGGTGGGCAGAGCACAGATAACCCTTGTGTAGCTTTGTGCATAATTAAGAACAAACAAACAAAGATGTGATGCTGAGCATCACTCGTATAGCAGTATCTACAGAACAATTTCAACAAAGCATTTTCAGAATGAGCTATCTGTGCTCTGCCCACCACGGGTATCGAAACCCGGTTTCTAGCGTTGTAAGTCCACAGACATACCGCTGTGCCACTGGGGGGATTTTTATACTTCAGAGCTGGGCGTGACCTTTTGGTCAGCGTGCCAGCCTGCGCATCGGAAATTACGAGGCTCGAGTCTGTGACCTGAACACGCTGAAGACCTTCAGGTGTGCAAGCATTATAAGAGTGACAATCAATCCTTCTATACGGTTAAGAGTAACCGCATAGACAATGGATGTCGTTTACTGGTTGCTCATTCTCTCTCTAGTCAGCAGCTCAAAATTAGGAATAGCTATGCTTGAATATTGGGGGTCTCTGAACTGGTTGTTTAACCCTGTGTCGCAAAATGTGTCTTCTTCAATTTGAAAATACCCAAAACCGCTACAGATGGTTAGCAGAATACATAAAGCTTTTATATCACTGTTTATAGAACTAGACATGGTACAGAATTAAGGACAACTTCAAAACTGTATATAGTCGACAATACGAATGCTATATGTTCTTTCTTAGGGCTAAACTGAATTCTATTGAAACTTAATTGGACGAAAACTTGTAACAAGCACAAAAAAGAAGCAATGAAAAGACATTTCCCGGTTCCACCAATCTTTCATATTACAATATATATAAGATTATCTTATAGATGTCATAGTCAGAGTTACCATAAGAGTAAAATACATTATTTTAAGAAGGCTTTTCTGAACGTGAATTAGATTATATATTCTTGGTATTGTGCTGATGAACCACAAATGTAGTATATAAAGAACGACGATCTGAACTCAGTCTGCCACCATTTATGTTTACCAAAACATGAACTACACACAAATTTAAATTATGAAACATTTTAGACGTCTGAAACATCGTGTATTTGTATTTTTTGAAACAAGTATCATTAATAGATACCCTGGTCTTTTTTTTTTCGATTGGTTCTCAGACCTATTTTTCAGTTGGCCGTGAGATGTATCAAAATTCCCATTCATTATACACCATATTACCAGTTAATCTTTACGTTTACAGGCAAACTTCTAGTGATAGGAACTTGTCAAGATGACCGTGAACATCGCTGGTGTGATATCTGTCATCATTTTTTACATTCTCATCTTATTGGTGGGGATTTGGGCTGGCCGAAAGAAGAAGACCTCTGCCGACGACCTGGAAAGTGAAGAAGTCATGTTAGCGGGACGAAATATAGGATTTTTTGTCGGAGTGTTTACAATGACTGGTAAGTTTTTAATAGATTGGAAAGAGTGAAAAAATTAAATATATTCGGAATTAACTTATAAAAAAAAGAAATGTTATTTTTACCATATATCCCAGGTTTATCATGTAAACGTTTTCATAAATTCTAAAACAAAACAAAAATATTATTGCCATTTATAGACCATTGAATAAAACTATTCAAATATTAAATAAAACTAAAGATGAAATAAATCTAATGAATATAACAGGTATATATATATAAAGTTCGATGTAAATGTGGTCGTGCATACATTGGTAATACTAGAAAAAAATTAATATGTAGAATAAATGAACATAAGAGAAATGTTAGGAACAAAAGTGAAAACTCTGCATTAGTTGAACATGTAAGTTATACTAGACATATCATCCAGTGGGAAAAAACAGTTATTTGGGCTCAACCGAATGATATGACTGCAAGAAAGATAAGAGAAACCATCAAAATAATGAAAAACAGCAAAAAGAATTTGATCTTAAACAAGAATGAAGGGTTAGAAAATCAGAAAGTAGGTAGGTGGCGTGATCTTCTTTTTTTGTATCATGACCATAGTTTTTATACTTATAAGGCACACAGTAATATGAAACCACGTTAAAACATGTCGAGTGACTTTTATAACCGTTGATCGGTTTAAATAAAAATTTTAATTGTATAAGATAAAACTTTGTTCGTGTGCATATTTTATTATATATGTATTCGGAATGTTTACATCATTTTGAAAGATTTATTCTGATCTTGTTGGATAACATTCCGAACTTTACACGTAGTCATTTGTACCATGGAAGGAATACTGTCAGCAAAGTCATTTCACCATAGTTTTGGTGAACATCATAACCTTCTAAGTTGAAGCTTTTAAGAAAACGTTTCTTCATCAACCCCAGTGCTAAAAGTAACCGTTTCAAAGTTTTCAAGCTATTTATTGCAAACTAATAAAACCTGTAGAGATGATAGATAACTGTTTGGTTGTATGGCAGTGCATATATTGCCTTTGCTTTAAAAATGTAAATAACTTTTTTGAATAATATTAAAGATAGGTAAAATAACAAATGTATTATTACAGTTTAGTTTACTATATGAATTTTAAGTTTCTGTACAGATTAATTTAAAAAACACAGTATATGGCAGTACAATAATAGTTGTTTTTATTATTTTATGGAATGAGTTGGTAAAAGCTTTTTTTAATTTAAAATTAAGACCTTTGCTCTTATGTACATTTTCAATATGACGGTGGAGATTTGGGGATTTAGGCTGGTCGAAAAATGATTTTCGGTGAAACTTCAGACAGTAAACAAAGTGCGTTAGACACAAAAACTATGCTTACACAGATTTTTTATTATTTTAAGAATATGTTAGGAAAAAATATAGATTCCTTTTATACTTAGCAGTATTTGTGTAACGTTCATTATTTAAGTTTTCAGCTGGTTAGCTATATAAGATGGATTAACAGTGTTAATTTAAACATATCACAAAGTATGCCATAGACATAAAATACATCTGCCTTAAACAGCGGACTCATGAACATTAAAGAACAACAGTAATAATATCACATTTACTCCAGTAAAATTTTAGGCAGGAGGGTCGCGGGTTCGAATCCCTGTACCACCAAACATGCTCGCCCTTTCAGCCGTGGCGGCGTTATTCAGTGACGGTCAATCCCACTATTCGTTGGTAAAAGAGTAACCCAAGAGTTGGCGGTGGGTGGTGATGACTAGCTGCCTTCCCTCTAGTGTTACATTGCTAAATTAGGGACGGCTAGCGCAGATAGCCCTCGTGTATCTTTGCGCGAAATTCAAAAACAAACAAAAATGTTAGGCAGAGTAGACATAGTAGGTTTGAAAATTCTAATGAACTGCGACTGTCTGTTGAAAAAAAAAAGAGATGTTTCGGCTCCTATACTGAAGCCTTCTTCAGGTCCAAAGAGAGGTCCTCAAGAAATCCTTAGTATGGAAGCCGAAACGTCGTCACCTTTTCTTTCAACAGGCAGTTGCAGTCCATTTCAGTTTTCAAACCTAATATCATACTTACTTTGAAAATAAATTTTGAAGTGATTAGGAGTTTTGATGTTAAATTATCATGAATTTTACATTCCTTAGACTTAAAAAACAAACAAAAACAACACTTGGGTAAAGCGTGTAGATATCGATTACTTTTACTTCATTAGTGTCTAATGAATAATACATAGTGTAAAGAACGACAACTTGTTAATGTTATTTTCAAATAACAGTTGACTTTTTTAATGAAGCTTTACTGTAGGAAGTATTGAATAATTTATTAGCAATGTTTAAACTAACTAGTTGAAGGAAAAATGCTCGTTATTAGTTAAACATATAAACACTTCATGTGATTTAAAGAAAGAAATACTTTAAAAACCTAATGACGTTGAAAAAACTTGAAGAAATGCTCCGGAATTACCCCTGTTATAGTTCCTTTCAGATAAAACTGTTTGAAATATTAACATTTTATTTATGTTGTGCATATTATTTCTACAGGTATCGGTATATACACACACACACACACATATATATACTTCATTATTTGGTAGGTACTAAGCTGATTTTTGTTTCGTTTCAGCTACCTGGGTGGGAGGAGGGTACATTAACGGAACAGCAGAAGCTATACACGACGATGGACTTGTATGGTGTCAAGCCCCGCTTGGCTATGCTCTTAGTCTCGTATTAGGTAAGGGCATTTTCACATACCGTTCTTATTCAATTTTAAATCCTAACTCTGCTCAAAAATATTCTTTGTTGTGATGCAACAAATCTTAGTAAACTAGTTAGTGGGGATTCACCCTTTACATGATAAATTCAGTATTACGATAATTAAGATTTCTTTACAGTGATGAAATGCACTTATTTGAATTTGGTAAGGAAGAAAATGGTCGTATAATATTAATTACATAACTCTAGCTATTTGTAAAACATTGTAGTGTCCGTGCCTTACGGACCAGAGTCGCGGTGATTATCATAAGTCGAAATAGAAACAAGAGTTTTCTGAGTGCAAAAGATGATGGTTTTAAAGAAAATGGAAACAAATACTTGGTGTTTCATGGTGTAGTATTAAATAAAATACAAATTATCTTACTAAGCCATGTATTTGCACGTTTTTCAATATCAAACATTAACTGTCATTGGAAGATAAGCCTAAAACCATCACTAAATGAAGACAAACGCTAAGACACTTGAACAAATATGTTTAAATGCATTATTATTAATCTACTAATTTTAATTACATTACAGACAATTTTAATAAGTATAAGTAAGCGCCGTCTGACGATGTTTTAAAGAACTAAAACATAAAACTCCTAAATCTGCTGTCCTCAGTATCTTCATTTCAAATTTTCATTGGATGATTTGCTGATATTATTGGTCATTGTAAAGGCTGCAGCCCCTATAATAAGTATTAAATATACTTTGTTTAGTTAAAAGGTTAGAGAAAAACGCCCTTTAAACTCCACGCAATTATAAAACAACATTTATTTGAACCAACATTTCGCCTCTCCTTCATCAGTAAACGATTAATATGACATGTTGGAGATAAAAAAAAAAAAAGACCATAGGTTTATGACTTATATTTTTTAAGATTTTTTTCTTGCTATTACTTGGCACCCCCCCCCAAAAAAAAGGAGGAATGTTTTCATTTTTATTTGCGATACTTTGTAACATAGTTGTATGTACTAATCCTAATGAAACCGCAAAAGCGAAATGTTGGTTCAAATAAAAAGTTATTCTATAATCATCTGGAGTTTAAAGATCTATTTTCTCTAATCTTCTAATCAAAATATGTAAATCTCACTAGTGTGCACTACAAATTTTGAAAGAGAACAAAAAAGCTTTATTTTATTTCTTACTCATTATACTTGAAACTCTACAAAATTAAACAAGCATATGAAGGTGTTAGATTCTACATATGAAGTTTCATTATACACTCTACACTTGTAACTTTTCGTATACGTTTCTGTGTTACAAAGTATCGCAAATAAAAACGATAACATCTCTTTTCTTTTTTTGGTAGTCACAGCAAGAAAGAAAAATCTTAAAAATATATAAGTCATAAATCGATGCTGTTTTATCTCCAACATGTCATATTAATCGTTTACTGAGAAGAGATAAGTATTTATGTGATAAACCTAGACTTCGCTGAGTTGTGTTTCAAATCAGGCTTAGGCTATTGTTTCTTGGATAACACCTTTGATTCAAACTTTTTTTTTGTTTATTTTGCTACATCTGTAACATCTATATTATCTTTTTCATTGTAGTAAGAGCGCACAGAGCGATATCAAGATAATAAAAAGAGAATTATGGGATTACTGTAAAGAAAATGGTCGAACATTTCTTGAGAATTTTTGTTTTCAGAATGATTTTATATTTATTTCTGGAATGAAGAAGAAATACGAGAAGCTATTTTCACTTATAAAATTGTGAAGATATGTTGTAGTTTTATTCCTTCTTAAACTATTATAGCATTACTAACAAACAAAGTTGGAGGAATACAAACCATTACATGTAAGCGCTAACTAGGATTTGAAACCTTGTTAGAATCAAACAGAAAACTTATCTAAGAGATAGATTTTTAGGTTGTGCTATCCAAACAGGATTTAACAATTAAATTATATACAGCCCAATAATACAAGTTAGATAAGCTAAAGTATTTTCCATATTTGCGCTACATTATACTGTAACAATTTTTAATTAAATTAAACAATTTAATTTAGTTAATATAATGGATACTACTTTTAATCACAATATATTTTTGTTCTTGAAGAATTTGTCACAATGTCTAATTTTATTATCTTGTAAAATTGTCCCAGTTACCAACATTATCATGATTTCTCCTCACGTATGATATGTTTAATGTTTTCGTGTTTCTCATTTATCTATCTTCTAGTGTAAAGTCTGTCTCTACTTTGCGTGCATATTTTGGCTGTACCTATCTATCTTCAAGTGTAAAATATATTTCTAGTTTGTATGCCTATTTTTGGTATTCATATCTTCAAGTGTAAAGACTGTCTCTGCTTTGTATGCCTGTTTTTGGTGTACCTATTTATCTTCAAATGTAAAGTCTGTCTCTACTTTGTGTGCCTGTTTTTGGTGTACCTATTTATCTTCAAATGTAAAGTCTGTCTCTACTTTGTGTGCCTGTTTTTCGTGTACCTATGTCGTTTTTACGTAGTTTATCAGTTCATAATGAATTAACGACCTGTGCCTATTGTTCGAATAATTTAACATGATTTGTTTATTTGTTTTAAAGTACGAGGCTAAACAATTGGCTTTCTGTGCTGTGCTCACCACGGGTATCGAAACTCGGTTTTCAGTGTTATTAGCCTTCAGATTTGCCGCTGAGCCACTGATGGGGGAGAGGATACTTTAGCATGATGTGCATACAAATGAACGTAAAATCAAATGTATAGAAAAGATGTGTGAAAAATGCGATTATTAATATTCAGGAAGACATTGTAAAATGTGATAACTTACAAAAATGTAAGTCGTAAAATGTGAACATTTGGATGAGAAAATAATAAAATACGATAATTTTCAGAAAAAATCTTAAGTGATATTTAGCAGAAAAAAAACCGTAAAATTGAAAATTTTCAGAAATAATCGTAAAATGAGATAATTTTAAGAAGAAATAAACAGAATTGATGTAAACGAGAAAAAAAAACGAGCATGACAAAACCTGCTTTGGTCAAAATACTGTTTCAAAATAAATTGACAACTAACCACATAAATTGACTTACTTTTTCCTATTATTATTTGATAATAAAACAATAGCTCTTGTTCGGGTAGTTTATAGAATACAACTTTTATGGTTAGTGTTTTTAAGAGGGCAAATTTTACAATTTAGTATAGAATTTGACCCATTAGGTTTAAAAACTGGTATTTTAGAATGACCCAGGAAACGATCAGCTGTCACCCCTGTTTTAAAAAGTCTTATATTTCTAAACACTACATATCTTATAAAAAAGACTTTCCAAGTTTCTGTTTTGTATAAATATCCCCTAATGTCCCCAGTAGTATGAGCAACATAAAATATATATAACACTTCTCCAGAGTTTATTCGTTTTTACTTCGCTTTTAGACTTATTCTTTATTAGAAATAGTAAATTGTATAAGTATATTTATCAAATAAGTACGGGTTTTACTAAATATTTCAAATATAGACTTTGTATTCTAGTGGAATCCTTTTTTTCATATAAAGTATATGAAAATTATTTTACCAAGAAATATAATGCAGCACTTAATCACAGACTTAAAAGGTGGAGTAGGCTAAAAGGAAAACACGCCTACGTGAATCTTTTTTTGAAGTTAAGTCTGTGTGCAGATTTTTTCTTTCTTTTGTTTTTATGGTTCTACACTGAAGAGCATCTGAAAATGCGATACCTGTCTTGGAGTCGATGACACCGCACTCAGGAAATATGTGGGCTACAGAGTAGTGTCAAGGTTTTCAGTATTCAAGTTAGAAACAAAATCAAAATACACTCTCATATATTAACTACAACAACAACGACAACAAAAATTTTACCGCTAAATAGAATTCACAGTAATGTTCGGCTACAAAGATGCAGAGCTTAGGGGGTTGGCCGAACTGTGTTCCTCTTGTTCAAAGTAGTAGAAGCGTTCACATCAAGTATATGTAGCCACCATACAGCAGAAAGTAATTTTCGTTGGACCTTCTTCGGCCGACAGAACTCGAGAAAACCGCGGAGAAAACGGCTTGATAGAGCTGAGAGACCAGATATTGTATTGCATGACATGTGCGGCCACTACCGTGTCTTGTGTGTTAGATTGGATAGGGATATGGGCTTTCCTCCCTCATAGTCTAGAAATTAGTGTCAATTATGCCACGCTGGTGGGCAATTTATATTCTAGATATCGTAAGGAGATTAAACCTTTATTCAGTTCTCCAGAGAAAGGAGAGTCGGTACCCGAAAGTTTTGTTTGGGAATCAACTCAACAAAAATGTCTTCCCAGGTGTTCTTAGATTTTTGAACCTATGCATAATAATATAGATTCTTAACAGGTCTACCTCTTCTACCATTTTTTATAGTTTTCTTGCAGTTAGACGCTGAATATTTTTAGCAGCCATAGTTTGAAATTTTAGCACTTTCATTATTATAAGTTAAATAAAAGAAGATAAAAATTTGTTCTAATGAATGGTGACTATTTTTTGAAAGGAAGTAAACTTATCAGACCAAATTCACCAGCAGACGAGTATACATTTTCATAGTGTTTTGTTTGTTTGTTTCCAGCAAATAGTATTAAATCTGGTTTCTTCTGACGAAGTAACATAGAACTAGATATGCTCAAGATTTTATAACTTTTTTTTCAATACAAAACACATTGATAAATAGCAAAATTGATCACAGATTAGACTTATATTAGATGGTAATTTATTAGTCATACATATAGAAAAACTTGGGGTTTTCCTTACTTTTATGAAATGATATGTTTCGGTGGTTGGATTTCAGTGTCAATGGCTTCATTTCAGGTGGTTTATTGTTTGCCAACAAGATGCGAACACAGGGTTATGTGACTATGTTAGATCCCTTCCAGGAGATCTTTGGATCAAGAATGGGAGGTCTTCTGTTCCTTCCAGCTCTTTGTGGAGAGGTCTTCTGGTCAGCAGCCATTCTTGCTGCTCTTGGTAAGTAGACATTATGATGCATTAGGTTTTGTAAAAGTAGAATTTCTTTATTTTATATTAGTATCTATATGGTAGGTGAAAAAGTATCTCAGGTTTTTGATGATTCTTCAAATACTACTTGCCTTTACAAACACTGTTACTTTTGTTAAGACATGAACTACAAAGAGTAACAAGCAAAAAAAGATAACATTCTGATTCCAAAAAAAAGAACAGAATAATATCCAAAAAAGTCTACAGGAGAAATATTCTTGAGAAGTAAAACGATTTTAATGTGTCTGTGCGTACAGATGACATGAGATAATTCATTAACGTTTTATTAAAATAAATGGATTATCTATGTTTTTGGTTGGCTCGCGACTGGTCTTTAAAGAGAAATATATCTCTATTCATTTCTTAAACTGTTCGGTAAAATACATTTTATGTAATATGTCACAGGAAACGTAACAGAGGAAGTGTTTTAAACAGGAACTTCATAAATGGTAGTACCCGCTTGTATGCTGATGCATTTTAACTAAGTCTTGGAAGATTCTTATAAAAATCTCAGAATCACAGATTGGCTTGACAATGTTTGAATTTTCTTTTCCCGTTGTTTCTGAAGCTAACAATCTCTAGTTGTCGCACATCCTTGATAAAATGTAAAATATTGACATCTTCCTCTCAAACATTTGGGCAAACTGTCAAAAAGATAAAATAAGAAATTATTAACACCAGAATGCAAGGAAAAGATATAAATGTTTTTGTTAATAACATGATTTGGGAACTAGACTAAAATGTGGAGAAAACAAAAGATACATAAGGGAGGCTAAAGTGCGTGAGAGATCTACCAGGTTTCTATGTATTAACAGCAGATTATGTAAGATAGACTGAAAGTGTACACTAACAATAAAGTGTAAATAACATATAGAAATATTGTAATTGTCAATATAATAGTTAGAACAGATTGAATGTTTATTATTAACAACAGAATATGTAGAAGGCTGTACATGGTCTGTTTAGCGCGCCGGACTGCGAATAGAAAGGTCAATTCGAGTTACGATATACCGTTGAACATATCTCACACTTTTATCTGTGAAGGCATTATAGAGTTTGTTTAATCCCACTATTCAGTTATGTAGCCGCTGAATGATCCCCCCCTCTGGTCAGTAGTTGTAACTTAAGGATGGCTGTGTCCTAACCTTGGAGCCTCTAAATCTGATCGTTTAGCCCATGTGTCTTGGGTTGAAAATATCAAATATACAAGAACATATAGAATATATTGAAATGCTAACAATTATAACAACATAATATGCAAAACACTATGTATTAACCACAGAGGGTAATCAAGAGGCTGAAATGTTTGCACTGAAATGTAACATGTACAACGGATGGAGATTGGATTAACAGTAGACTATGTAGAAAAGACAGGAATGTTAATATTAACAGCAGGGTGTACCGAGCAAGCTACCACGGAATTTTGTAAAATGCATTGACCATTAACTAGAACACCATTAACAAGATAGTGCACAAAACAGGTGATTACTAAATGTAAATAGTAAAATAGAATATAAAGAGTATATACAAATATTTAACGTTAACAGTGTAACAACTAAGTCATATAATGAAATGTTAATATATAAAATATATTGTTAGTTTTAATAACAGAAAACGTACGGGTAAACTGAAATGTTAGTACTAAAAGTACATACTGAAATCTTATTGCGTGTCTTCAGGGGCTACCGTGAGTGTGATTATTGACCTGGAAACCAACACTTCAATTATTGCATCCTCGTGCATTGCTGTGTTCTACACACTGTTTGGTGGTTTGTACTCTGTCGCTTATACTGACGTCATTCAACTATTCTGTATTTTCATTGGTTTGGTGAGTACAATAAAATATTAAAACGACACAAACATTTTACTCTGCTCATTTCTTAATTGATATTGCATGAAATGTACTATATTTCACACTTGAAAACTATTATTTTGTCCGATTTCGCGGATTCATTTTTTGTTAGATATGAAATGAGCCTTTATGTTGTATATATATTGTTGTATGTATATATATATATGTGTGTGTGTATGCTATACTTGCATTAGGTCGTCAAGAAATTGATGTCGCGTTTTGGAACACTTTCATTAACCACCCCACAAAAAACGTACATCGCGTTAGTTTAGCCTATATAATGTGTAAAGTTTAGTATACTCTAATCCCTTATAGTGATGGCACATGACGAGACATACATTCGGCATGTAATGCTGTTTGGATACAAGAAGGGAACAACGCCCCTGTAACCACAAAGAATATCAAAAAAGTTTATAGAAATGTTTTGAACGTTCGTAAGTGTCAACGATGGTTCAGCAAATTTCGTTCAGGTGGCTTTAGCCTTAAAAACTGTGATGGCAGGAGCCGACATGTTGGAATTGATATTGATGCCCTGAAGACGCTTGTTGAGTCTAACCCAAGGCAACACACTTATGAAATGGCCCTGAAATTGCACGTCTCTCATGAAACAGTACGTAAACATCTAAGGAATATGGGAAAACTCCATAAAGAAGGTGTTTAGGTGCCTCACGAACTCTCCGATTATCATCGTTTCTAATGTGTGAACGTTGCTTCGTCTCTTCTGGAGCGTAATGCTCGTGAGCCATTTTTGGACAGAATTGTCACCGGTGATGAGAAATTGGTTATCTATGCGAATATTAAACGCCGAAAACAGTGGTCCAATCCTAGACAGAAACCCACTTCCGACCCCAAAACCTGGACTCCATTCGCAGAAAGTGATGCTTTGCATTTGGTGGGACATCAGAGGAGTAATTCATTTCGAACTCCTCAAGCCACAGCAAACTGTCAACGCAAAGATATATAATCAGAAACTGGAACGTCTAAATCAAGCCCTTCATCAGAAACGCCCTTCACTCGTCAATCGGAAAGGTGTTCTTCTTCTCCGCGACAATGCACGTCCACATGTGGCACGTTTAACGCAACACAAGATTATGGAGTTGGGTTGGGAAGTTATCCCCCACCCACCATATTCTCCAGATATGGCACCACCAGATTACCATCTTTTTCCGTTGGCTGCAACACCATCTTAATGGGAAAACGTATGCAAATGTGGGAGGGGTTAAAGAGGACATCGACATGT